GCGGCGGGAGGCAGCCCCCCGCTGCGCCCTCGCCGGGGCGGAGGCTTACGCCCGCGTCCCTGTCTCGCTTAGGCCGGATCCTGGACCTGAAGACGGGGACGGTGAAGAAGGAGGGGCAGCAGTCGTCCATGAGGATGTGCATGGGCTCGCGGCGCTCCTTCATCTGCAGGATGAGGTCTGTGCGGGGCGGGGGGGCGGTGGGGGCCGTGGGGGGCTGGGGGGGGCTGCGGGGGGTCTGTGCGGGCCGGGGGGGGGCTGCGGGGTGTCTGTGCGGGCCGGGGGGGGGCTGTGGGCGGGGTCTGTGCGGGCCGGGGGGGGGCTGCGGCAGGCCCGCTCCTCCTGTTCGCCGGTGGGAGCCTTGAGGGGCTCTGCTCAGGTCACACGTCGAGGTCTTTGACCCCTGAACTCCCCCCCTTTAGGTGGGAATGTCTGGGCTCCGTGGTCAGCTGGTCAGCGACAGTTGCCCAGAGCACAGTCCGGGTTGGGGTTCCCTGAGCGCCCGAGGTCTGCAGGGTGAGCCGCACGTGCGTGGTGGGTGCCGCCTGGAGGACACGCAGCAGGGACCGAACTGGGGGCAATTGGAGGCGCCGGGGGGTCAGACCTGCGGGATGTGGGGTTCCGGAGGCTGTAAGGGGAGGCAGTGCCCCTCATTCATTCACTCGCTCATTCATCCGGTTATTGAGCACGATATCCAGGGCCTGCCTGCGCCAGGCGGGGTTCGGCACTGAGTAAAGCAAACAAAATCCCTGGGCTTGTAATGCCACTCTAGTGAGGGAGATCCACGGTAGACAGAAGTACCGAGTAGACACAGGGAATGTCAGATGGGGGTAAGTGCTATTAAAGAAAATAAAACAAAATTAAGAAAGAGTAGTTGTTAGTTCACATGTTACGTAGGTTGGTGGGGGAGGTCTCACTGATGAGGTGACATTTTGAGTGGAGACCTGGGACTATCTGGGGAAAGAAAATACCAAATGGAGGGAACAGCAAGTGCAAAGGCCCTGGGGCGGGGATGTTCTTGTGTTTAAATAACAATAAGGTTACTATCGAAGGGTGAATGGGGTGTGCTGGATGGAATGGTCATCAGTAAGCTTGGGATGGGGGCGCCTGGGGGGCTCAGCTGGTTAAGCATCTGACTCTGGCTCAGGTCATAATCTCATAGTTCATCGATTTGAGCCCCGCGTCGGGCTCTGTGCTGACAGCTTGGAGTCTGGATCCTGCTTCAGATTCTGTGTCTCCCTTTCTCTCTGCCCCTCCCCACTTCTCTCTCCCTCTCTCTCTCTCAAAAGTAAACATTAAAAAAGTAAATTAAAATAAGGTCGGGATGTCAGGGAACTTACAAGACTTGAGCTTTTGCTCTGAATGAGGTCGGGGACCGTTGGAGTTTTCTCGCAGGAATCACATGTGCTGAATTGCGTGACAATAATTCACTGTGCCCTGGGGGGGGTGAGTCTGCAGAGGACGAGCAAGGGTGCACGTGAGGTGGCCATTGTCACAGTCCCGGCGAGAAGAGCAGTGATGGTGACCGTGGTGGGAAGCACCCCGACTGGGCCAGCCGCAGGCCCGGCGGGCGGGAGGAGGCCTCCGCTCGGGGCGGAGGGCGGTGTGGGTCCTCTGGACGCAGGAGAGGGCCCGGCGGGCGTGGGGTTCTAGAACGCCAGAGAGGGGGGGGCTGACGGTAGGGACCTGGGGGCCGGGGACTGTGTCACCGAGATGCTCTCTGAAGCCTGGAGGCTGAATGAGGCCCCCGGGCAGCGGGCGGGTCCTGTGGCCTGGAGACGGGGGGGGGGGGGGGGGGGGGGGGGGGGGGGGGCCGGCCAGCCCCCCACGGCGCCCGCCCTCTCTTCCCCGAGTACAGGAGTCTGTCCCCGCTGCCCGGCGTCCTCGCTGCCTCGAGGCCCCACTGCCCGGCTCAGGGCCCCCCCAGCTGTCCTCGAGTCCCCGGGACCCCAGGCCGAGCCTGACTGAGCCTGGCCGCCTCCTGCCTTCTCTGAGCTTCTGCCCAGCTGCCCAGGCTGGCCCGTCACAGACGTCACTCTCCTCCCGGGCGCTGCCTCGCCTATGACGCGTCAGGGCTGTCTGTGCCCGAGCCGCGCTTCCCCGCACTTCCGGAAGACAGCACGGGGCTCCTGTCAGCACCTGCCTCAGGTCACACGAGGGCATCCAGGTGACAGCAGACACCGTCGCTGCGCCTGACCTCATGTTAGCCTGCGTGGACGAGTGCCCGGGTCCATGGACAGACCTTCGGGGCCGCAGGGTGCCGTGTGCTGGTGTCCCTGGGGACAGCACGCTGTCGGGAACCGTGGCGCCCCGGGCAGCAGAGCGCACCCACCCAGGGAGGGCAGCACCAGCCGGCCCGTCCTGCACCCAGCACCACGCAGTCCCTGGGAAGGCCGTCCCTGGGGTGTCACGGCCCTGGTTCTGCGCCTCCGTGCCGCCACGTTACTTTTAACCTGGGCTTTCGCGCGGCGTCGGGCGGCCCCTCCCTGCCCTGGGGCCCCGGGGACGTGATCCCCCATGAGATGGGGCTCCAGACCTCGCCCTCCAGATAAAGCGGGTCAGTCCTGGGGACACACCTGCAGGCGGGCAAACCAGGTGTCCGAGCACAGCTGGCCTCTCCCCCGGGCCACACGGAGTGTGAGACGCCCAGAGCGGGGACGCGGAAGCACGCCCCAGGGTGGGTGTGCGGAGCGCAGACTGGACCCCGGCTGCAGGGGGCCCTGGACGTTCAGAGCCTGGGGGTCGTTGCGCGGGGGCAGGAAAGGTCCCCTCAGAGGAGGCAGGCGACTCCTCCCGGCCCTCGCCTCCCAGAGAGGGACCCTTTGTAAGCCCCCCTGCGTCGTCCCCACTCTGCCCTTTGCCGTCAGCGGGCCTAGGCGGTCATGTCACTCCCTATGACAGGACACCGCAGGGGAGTAGGGGGGGCACCACAGGGGGCGGGGGATCCCCAAGACCACGGCTGCGGCCTGGGAACACCCATTGTCTCAACGCCTTCCTCGCCTCCCACCTCGTGCTTTGTGCTTTGCGTCAATGGCTGTGCTGAGGCCTGAAGAGCCACTACCACCATCTTCACCGGCTGCCCTGCTGGAGGGACCGGAGCGTGGCCGGGGCCCCTAGTCTTTCTGTGGGGGCCCAGCCTGGGGCGGGGGTGCGTTGCTGGGCGAGTCACACTCTCCCGGCCTCGGTGACGGTGGGATGAGAGGCGTGGAGCCCGCATTGAGGCAGGAGCGTCGGATCGGACCCGCCCTCCGATGGCCGCGCCGTTCCCTCCACCGGCCTCGGCCCTCATCACCCCTGTTCTTACGGGTCCCAGGTGTGGGAACGCTCCTTTGGACCACCTGCCACTGAACAGGATCACCACCATGAGGAAACGGTTCAGGTCAGTGGGCCTTCCCGCCGTGTGACTGGGGCCGTGCGGGTGGAAAGCAAGCGTAGGCGCCCTGAGCCGCGAGGTGGCAAGGCCAGGGGGGACCATGGGGGTCGTGGGATGCGTGCGGGGCTGAGGGGAGGGAGGGAGTTGGGTGCACCCGAGAAGGAGGGAAAGCGGGGTGCTGGGGTGCAAAACTCAAACCCAGGAGGCAAGTGTGACCCCAGCAGCCTGGGAGCCGCAGGGGCCGCCGTGCCCTCGCCTCCCACCTCGTGCTGAAAGCCACCTCACCTGTGCTCTTTCCCCAGGAACGGCCTCGGCCCCGTGAAAGAAGGGGAGGCCCAGTACGCCGTGGTGCACTGCACGGGGTACATCAAGGCGTGGCCCCCAGCAGGTAAGCCGTGCGGCCCTTCCTGACCCCGCTTTCCCATCAGGAAAGAGGCAGAAATATTCACTCGTGTCCATTGTGGGTAGAACGTGATGATCTTAGTCATTGGGAAAAGTCCTGCTTCTTGAAGCAAAGTTTCTGGAAAGAGCAACCCTGTGAAGGTGGCGAGAGCCTCGGCCGCCTCCGGGGGTCTGCTGCCCAGAGCCTGGGTGAGGCCACAGTGGCCTCTGAAATGACCGCTTAGACCCGCTGGGACGGCGGCGAGCGTCGGCGAGTCCTGGTGACCCTCAGCTCGCACCGGTGGGGACGTGAAAGGGTGCGGCTGCCTCTGGAAACGGAGGAGCCGCCCCGCTCCCAGGTGCGCTCAGGAGAACCCAGAGCGTTTGCCTGCAAAGAAACGTGTACATGAATGTTCACGGCGGCGTCAGTGGCCAGAAAGCGGAACCGCCCCAGACGTGCGCTTGAGCGGACGCGCAGGTAGGTAGAAGCGGTGCGGCCGTAGGGCGACCCGGTGCTCAGCCGGTGAAGGGAGAGGAACGGCGATTCCTGCTGTGACATCTGCGCGCCCTGATTCTCGCTGCCATGTCCGTGCACCTTGAGAGCGTCGTGCTAAGCGGAAGAAGCCAGACACACAAGGCGACTGTAATTTCATTTATGTGCCATATTCAGAGACGGCAAGTCCCTCAGACGGAAAGTAGAGCGTGGGCTCCAGGTGCTGGGCGGCGGGAAGAAGGGGTGTGACTGTCCCCGGGACAGCATTCCTTTTCTAGGGGACAAAAATTCCGAGATGAGGTGGGGTGACGGCTGTGCTACTCTGCAAACCTGAAAACCACTGAATTGTGCACTTGAAGGTGGCGAGTTTTGTGGCGTGTGAACTGTTACTCAATCGATCTGATATTCAGCAAAAGAATGTGTGTGGTGCTGACCGCCCGCACACCCCTGGTGGCTCAGAAAGCGGCCTTCTCTGGGGGTGGGCCCGGTCCGTGGGGAGCGTTGTGACTCCGCTCTCGTTGGATGGAGTGTTTCCGTGCCCGTAAGACCAGGCTGATCGATCATGCAGTCAAGGACAGCTGTGTCCTTATTGATTATTCACCTGCCCGATGGATTGAGCACTGAGGGAGGAGCATTGGAGCCTCCACATGTAACAGAACCAGGATTTGTCTCTTCCTTCAGGCAGCTGCGCCGTGTGTGCCGCTCGTCTGTCTGTTGCGGGGTTTTATGTCTTCTTGGCGCTGAGCCCTCTGCCCTGGTTTGATGCCCTTTATCCCTGACAAGTCTCCCTGCCCCGAGTTCTGCCTTGAAAATAAGACACCTACGCCAGCTCTCTTGGGGTTAGTGTGAGCACGGTGTGTTTTACTCCGTCCTTTACTTTTAACCTGTGTCATCATTTATTTTTAAGTTTTATTCAGTTTTGAGCGACATAGAGCGCGAGCAGAGGAGGGCAGAGACAGAAGGAGACACAGAATCCGAAGCAGCTCATAGTTTGACGCGGGGCTCGAACTCACAAACTGTGAGATCATGGCCACGTAACCGACTGAGCCGCCAGGCGCCCCTAACCTGTGTCGTTATAGCCTGTGTCCCTAACCTGCAAGCTTCTTACAGACGTTTTGTTGGGTCTAGTGTTTTACCCACTCTGACAGTAGGACTTTTAATTCACGTTTAGTGGGATTATTGTAGTTTGATCAATACCTACCGTGTTTTCTATTCCTTTATTTATTCTTTCTTCTCCCCCTCTCTGTGCATTCTCTGGTTTTCACTGTACATTCTATGGGATCTCATGGGCTCTTCTAGCATATCAGTAATATTTCTTTAAAAATATCTTTGTTGGGGCACCTCGGTGGCTTAGTCGGTTAAGCGTCCAACTTTCGCTTAGGTCATGATCTCGCGGTTCGTGGGTTCGAGCCCCGCGTCGGGCTCTGTGCTGACTGCCAGCTCGGAGCCTGGAGCCTGTTTCAGCCTGTGACTCCCTCTCTCTCTGACCCTCCCCTGCTCACGCTGTCTCTCTCTCTCTCTCTCTCTCTCTCTCTCCTAGAAATAAGTAAAAACATTAAAAAAAATATCTTTGTTGTTTGCCCTAAGTTTGAAATATACATTTACAACTAATGTAAATCCACTTCCAAATAATATTGTACTACTTGTGTGGGTAGTGCAAGGACCCCATAACTCGTAACCTGACTTCTTTCCTCCCGCGCACTGTCCGCACAGGCTACACCTACCCATGGGCACATTGTTACTATTCTTGCCCAGAACACTCAGAAATATATTAGCTCAATTAAGAATAATAGAAGGATGCCTGGGTGGCTCAGTCGGTTAAACATTCTACTTTTGGTTCTGGCTCAGGTTATGATCTCACCCTTCATGGGTTCAAGCCCCGGGTCAGGCTCTACACGGGCAGCACGCAGCCTGCTTGGAATTCTCTCTGTCCCCTCTGTCTGCCCCTCGCCCTTTCTCTCAAAAGAAATAAGTACACTTAAAAAAATAAGTTGAAATAAAAATAACAAAAAGAATAACAAAAATAAAAAAGTTTATTGCACTGTAATTCATTCCTTCTCTGACGCTTTTCCTTTATGCGTATCTGAGTTTCTGACCCAAATTGTTTCCTTCTTCCTGAAGAAACTCTTTTAACATCCCCCCCCCCCCACAGGACAGCTCTGCTGGGGGTGAAGTTGCTCTATTTTTGTTTTTCCCGGAGTCAGTATTTCTCCTTCCCTCTCGAAGGATAATTCTGCTGGGTTTAAGGTTTTAGGTTGGTGTTATTTTCCTCCGACACTTTTTATCTCTACTCCTTCCTTGTTTCCGTAGTTTCTGATGAGAAGTTCACATAACTGGTATCCTTATTTCCCTGTAGCCCATGTGGGATGGTTTTTTTCTGGTTTCTTTCAAGATTTTTCTCTTTGTCTTTGGTTTTCTGCAGTTCTAATATGACATCTCTCAGAAGTTCGTGTTATTTTGCTTTCTGGTTATTTATACTGCTTGGTAATTTCCAAGCTTCCTGTGTTTGTGGTTTGGTGTCCTTAATTTTGAAAAATTCTTGAGGCCGTCTGGGTGGCTCAGCTGGCTAAACATCTGACTCTCGACTTTGGCTCAGGTCATGATCTACGGTTCATGAGTTCAAGCCCCAAATTGGGCTCTGTGCTGACAGCATAGAGCCCGCTTGGGATTCTCTCTCTGTCTCTCTCTCTGCCCCTTCCCCACTCATGCACCCTCTCAAAATAAGTAAATAAACTTTATTAAAAAAGGAAAAATTCTTGGACATCGTGTCTTCACATATTTCTTTTGTTCTGCCTCCTTTCCCTGCCTTCAGTATTGCAATTGGCCGCGAATTACATGGCATTTGAAATCGTATTGTGATTTGGGCATGTTTTGTCCTGGATTCTTTCAGTCTTTTCTCCTCTTTGCATTTTAGTTTTGGGAGTGTCATTCGACAGATCTTCACGCTCATGATCGTTCCTTGGTGATGTCCAGTCTGCTGATGAGTCTATCAAGGGCTTGCTCATTTCCCCAACAGTGATTTTTTTTAAGTTAATATTTATTTATTTGGTCAGAGAGCCGGACAAGAGGGACAAGAGAAAGGGAGAGAGAGGAAATCCCAGGCAGGCTCCACGCTGTCAGTGCAGAGCCCGACATAGGGTTCGAACTCCCGAACGGTGAGATGATGACCTGAGCCCAAACCAAGAGTCTCCAACAATGTGTTTTATTTCTAGCATTTCCTTTCGCTTTCCTCCTGGGGTTTCCATCCCCCGTGCTCGCATTACCCCTCTGTTTTGGCTACTGACCACTTCTGTCATTAGAGCTCTTAGCATTTAATGACAGTTATTTTAAATTCCCTGTCCAGTAGTTTCAGTCTGCGTCATATCTGAGTCTGGTCGAGGCGCTGACTTCGTCTCCTCAGGCTGTGCTCTGTCTTGCCCGTTAGCCGTGTGAATCTTCGCTGCACACCAGATGGGATGTCAGGTGACGGCAACTGAGGTAAATAGGTCAGAGAGCGAAGTTCAATTTAATTTTTTCAGGCGTTGGTTGTGTTGAAATGTTTGCCATGTATATGCATAGACATCAGCTTGACATAACCATACATGTGTATATATTTTTAAATTTATGAGTTTTTTATTATAGATTTTTTTTCCTACTTAAACCATAATGCACAACATTGTCAGGGCATTGCTCGCCTGAAGGGCCCCGATTAGACTCAAGGCCTCGGGCTAGCTGCCTTCACAGGGGCCTGGGGCCTGGGCCTCAGCTCTGGAGATCTGGAAGCAGCCCCCCATGGGGCTCCAGAACGATCAGCCCAGCGACGGGGGGATGGGGGCGGGGGGGGTCCCTGCACGCTGCTGTCTTAACCAGTTGTGACCCTGAGGCCATGGGGTCTCCTCTCTCTGGCGCGGTTGCTCACGCCCATTGTCCATGGTTCCCGTGAGGTTCTGAGGCCCCTGTGAGGCCAGATTTGTATTGGAAGGTTGTGTGATGAGAGGCAGAGCAGAGGGGAGGGGTGCGGCCTGGAGAGACTTTCCACAGCAGCGGGGCCCACGGCCTCATCTGTGCCCGCCGCTCAGTGCCTGACCTGGGCCCCTCCCTCGGGGGGCACAGGGCCGTGCGGCGGGGGGGGCCAGCACGCACGGTGATGCCGAGAGTATGGGGAGAAGGCCAGCCCTGGGGACCAAGGGCGGGGCCCCGATGCCCCCTCCCCCGGGGCAGGAGAGCTTCCTGGAGGAGGCAGGTCGGCACCACCAGATCCAGCCATGGGACCCCGTTCCAAGAGACCGTCTCGTCTCGTTCCTGACGACTTCCTCTTCGAAACTCGTTAATCATGCTGATGACACCGGGCAAATCTCATCCTGCTCCTGGCCTCAGAGCGCCCTCCTTCTGACCACTGTACGTGGGCTCCGGGCCCGCAACATCACGAGAAATGCCACGGTCATTGTGAGTCTACCGCGAGGCCTTGTGAGTGCGCAGGAGAGGCGTGTGTGGCCTGGGGGCAGGCAGGTGGCGATACCCAGAGCCCGCGAGGT